TATATGTATATATATATATATAAATACGTTACATACAGCGCAGCCTCAATGGTTGTTGTTAGTGCCATTGAGGCTCCACTGTATCTATCACTTTCACTATCGAATATATATACATCAAGCAACCAACTCAACATCAACTACCTATATATAAATCTACAAATATAAATACATATATATATATTGTTGTAGAGCCATGCTAGCGTGTTAATACTGTATTCGATTGGGGCAGCTCGCAATTTCTCTCATTTGCGTTATCGAACATCGATTGATCGATTAATCGATTTGCCAATGTGAAAGAAACAAGAGAAAGCAAATAAAGAAAATGAAAGACAAGAAAATAACTGCATATTTTTGAGATTGTTAAGCACAAATAATTAGGGTGGCCATATATTTATGTGGGGGGCGGAGTTATTGAAAGCAAACTAGTTCAATGTTTTGCGCGTACGTGCGTGTGTTCACTGTACAGTATGCACAAACACACACATACATACACGCACGAACACACACACGCTCGGCTATACATAAAGTAAATGTAATTGTAAGGGGAAGCCCCGACAGGAGCCAAACAAAAGACAACTAAAGTTATAATGGATGTATATACATATATGCATATATACATACATACATATATACATATGTATACAAATATGCATATATACATATGTTAACACTATCAATTCTATGTATATTATATTTATGATTATTGACATTGCCATTATACAGTTATTGTTACTATATATATGAATTATATCGATACGGTTTATATGTATTACGAATACCTCTATATACATATTATACGAGTATATATATATACTCACATATATATACATACAAAATGTTATTGTTTCTCGGCTATTGTAGAGGCTTGCGTTGAACTTGATTCGGTATTTCTTGTTATTTAAATCTATGCAAACACAAAAAAAGTAAAAACATAAAAAAAATACCAAAAAAAAAAAAAAGAGAGAGAATGGAAGGAAGCCATAAAATTTATCATATTTACTAATCGCAAGCAAAACTATTCAAATTCAAACATTTATATAACAAAACAAAACAAAGCAAACAAAATACCAGCAAAATCAAATACTTTATGCATAACAAAAAACCTAAAAAAAAAAAAATATTACTAACATTTATATACAATGCATACATTTTTCCACTTTATATACTAAAAGCAAGAACGCAAACAAGATTTTTTAAACTATATACGATTTATAAAAATACTTAATATTTAATTCGTTTATATTTTTGATTTTTAAACTTAAAAATCTTTATACAACAAAAAGAAAAAAAAAAACTGTACATACACACACACATACAGAGGCACACACACTTATACAAAGAGACTCTAACGGTAACAAACAACCAAACTAACAATGTAAACATGATCTAAATGAAAAGTATGTATGAACTATCCCCAAGCAAGGTACAACTAACCAACCGAATACTAGCAAGCGATAAACAAATACTAAACAAATACCAAAGATATCAAACCGAACAATATATGTACATACCCGTATATATAATTAAAATCTATTACACTTAAGCTTAAGTTTAAGACGCGTTACGTATATTACATATGTATATTCCAATAGGAAAAGTTGTTTGGCCCCCAAAAAATACCCAGCATCTAAAGCACTTGTATTTCGACTTATATTATATATGCCATTATTATCATTATTATTATTCCTATGTATTCTTATAAAGCTAAATCAAATGCTAAGTAAATCATACTTAAAACCAAAAAAAAAAAAAAAACTAAAAAACTAAAAAAAAAAATTACAAATCCTTCATTGATCTAAATGTACATAGATAATACCCAATATATACATATATTTGTATCCTAGTATTATATAATCTAATATTATTTCGATTTCTTGCCCCTTTTTGTATTGCGTACAACTCAATTCAATTTAAGTGCCAAATGCACGCATCTAAGAAA